TCAGTGGCCTAAAGAAAATCCAGAACTGTCATAATTAACATGGAAAGCAGTATACAGTCTTTTTGAAGACTGGGTGGTATTATATGATAAAAGTACTTTGTGGCTAAAAATGGCTAAGTAATTAAGCACCATTATCTTAAACTATGGCATTTCAGAGATATTCTGTGGGACATGTCCTGAAGATTGTAAAATTGCAATGTTAAGTACAGCTAACGAGACTGTTCTGCAAGTACAGAACATAACAGTTTAATTAACCCAGAGTTAATGCAGCCCAATTTCTAATGAACTTCCTCCCCTCCCCCCTTCCTTCTAGCTCAAGCATTTCACCTGTGTGCCTTTGGAACCAGACCTAGGGTTGGATTCTGACAGACCCCACACAGAGAGCCTGTAGCTCTAATGGCTGATCCAACATCCAGCCCTAAATGCTTTCAACCTGCAGCAGAGTTGTAGGCCAGATTCATAGGCTGCAGTATTCGGAGAAATGCCTGATTTCTTCTCACTTTCCCACCTCCCTTCCCCACACGTCTTTGAGTGGAATGCTGGAAAATGTTTCAGCTTAGGTCGTTAAGCGTAGAGTAAGGACCTCAAATGTAGGCAGCCATTCTCAACACTCCTGGTCAAGATTTGTCATTTGTGCTCTAACGCTGTGCCTTTGCCAAGATGCTTTTCAGCGAACTGTGCCAGTTACAAATTCAAGAAAGGTAAGTCTCTTCTTTCAAATTCAAGGACTCACCTCAAAGGAATTCAGGATTACCACACAAATTATTGCTGTGAAAGGTAATACCTGGAATTGTACTCTTCGACTTACCTCCATTGTTTTTTTCTAATTCAGGTAAATCAGCATAAAAAAAGCAAGACTTCAAAATCTAAAGCCTGCATTCCTTCTCTGCCATTTATTGTTCCGCAATTAATTAATCCCAAAGCCACAAAAGAAAGTAAAACCTAGCCCTTGTCTAGGTGTGCATGCCTCCACTTCCATAAAGCTTCCTGCTGAGCAAGTAGGACATAGAGGGAGACATAAGAAAGCTGAAGCAAGTGAGCAAAAATGATTTTCCAACACAAGATGCATTTTATTCCATCTAACAATCCACAGGTTTGTGTACCAAATCCAGCAATCACCATACCACACAGTCACAGAAAGCCACAGCCCTCAAAAGGACTTCTTGGTGCTCTCGGTTGCACTTCATCTCCTGCTGTATGTACAGTCCTTTTCACAATCCTACTGTGGACATTTGTAGTGGAGTTCATAACCCAGACGACAGTAGATTCCTCAGGGATGACATCATTTGTTTCAGTGAGTTATGAAGAGCCCTTATAAATCTCTGTGCATGATTTTCTCATTTCATTTTCTCTTCAACTCATTAAGTACTGTGGCTCAATCACTGCCCTGATAGTGGAGACAGTGAGTATAGCTTTGCAATTAGAATACAGTCACATAAACTGGCATCAGTATTCTGCAGAAAAATGGACCAAATTGAATCTGTGTCATGACATGTAATTCAGTGTAGGACAAGCTGCAACAGAAATACTTTTCATAGCCATACTGAGTTAAACTGGAACAAATGTTCTCGACAGGAAAACTGTAAGTTACTGGAGTGAGTGGCAAATAGCTTTCTGTGGGGAACAGGAGAATGAGCCGAATTTGCCAGACTGAGGGGTGCAGGGGCAGTGAAGAATAAAAGGCAATAAAAAAAGTAGAGGCAGCACAGAAAAATTACAACAAAAGCTGTCTGAAGGATTGGTTGGGAAATACTTTCTTTTCTATCACTGAGAAATCACTTCAAAACCTTCCTCTTGGAGAAGTGGCACTGAATATACAGCCAGGTTGCACCTACACCTCCCAGATAACCCATCCCAAGTGATGACGAAAAACATTACCTGAAACAAACACATACTGACATGATGAAATTTAGATGACTGGATTAAAAAAAAAAAACAACAAGTTAATTTAACAAAATGAAGTAACATAAGATATTTTAAAAATCCTTTTGCATACTTCATATTTGCCATCATTTTCATGGGGCTGAGGGGTATACCCAACTGTTCCAGTGATGGCCACATTATAAAGTATTTAGACACAGAATCACAGAATCATAGAATTGCTCAGGTTGGAATAGACATTAAAGATCAAGTCCAACCACAACCTAACCATACTACCCTAACTCTAACAACCCTCCGCTAAATCATGTCCCTGAGCACCACATCCAAATGGTTTTTAAACACATCCAGGGATGGTGACTCAACCACCTCCCTGGAAAGCCTATTCCAGTGCTTAACAACCCTTTCTGTAAAGAAGTGTTTCCTGATATCCAACATAAACCTCCCCTGGTGCAACTTGAGGCCATTTCCCCTCGTCCTGTCACCTGTCACCCACCAGTGAGAAGAGACCAACCCTGCTCCCGCTGCAATCACCTTTCAACATGGCATGGTTTTACTTTTTCCTCCAAGTCTCAAAGCCTTTAATGTTATAGACAGTTTTCCTTAAAGATGCTGTGTATGGAAACTAAATTAGCTCCAAAAAGATAGGAGGTATAATGTCTCTTACTGAGGAGATTCTTTATGTGGGAGAAAAATGTGGATGGCTCAGTTACAGCACCTTGGCATATGCAGCTTTATGCTCAGACTTAGCCCATTTCTGTTTTTTCCTTTTTCTGTGAATATTAAATGAGAGAATGAGAAGACTACTTCATTTGAAAGGCTTATTTAATTTCCACTCTTCATTTGCTTTGTTTGCTGAATTACATTTCCATAAGAGAACAGTATGTACAATGGGCTCCCCTTCCTAAGTGGTTCAAATGAGCTGTAAGTAAAGCCATTCAGATATAATTCACAACCAAGTTTTCTTAATAACAACTAGTTAAGAACGTTACTGTATCTCAATAAATAGTGAATTTTTGCAGGCCTTTATCTTTGCATACAGAGTGCTGTCAGTATCCTTTAATCTAGCACAACTGTATCTTCAGAGAGGTTTGTATGGCTGCATAATGTAATTAAAAGTTATGTAAATATTTCAAAACTTTTCATCAGATGCTTGTGAAGAGGTGCTTACCCCCTTCGAAGTCAGCACTGAGCTGCATTAATTATTCTCTAACATGTGTCCATATCTGAAAGGTAATTTGTAGTCTAAGTCATTAAATTTCTCCTTTCAAACTGAATCTCCTATTGGAACACTATTGGAAGAGATTACACACTCTTCGCATTACTTGCTGTTTTACTTTTGCAAGGAAAGAAGTTAAAAAGCATCAGTACATATTTATTTCAGTCTTTGGTGTCTCATCATTATCCTCTCACTGTTTTTCTGTGTACACTCTATGCCTTGTTTAGTTAGATAAATGAATTGCCCGAGAAAGCAGATCTCAAAGTAAAAGGTGGCAGCTCACTGCCTACAGCATCAGTGGGCCAACACACAGCTGTGCATGTAGAAAGTACTTTGCTGATAAAAAAATCCCTCACACTGAAGTATGGTAAAATTTACCATGGTAGAGCAAATCTTGCTGCTTGAAATTGTGTGTCCATGTTTTTTTTTCTTCGACATAGGAAATACTTCTCCACTTTAACCAATTTACAACCACTAAGTAAGTCACCAGTATAAATATTTCAGAGAAGAACTATTTGTTTTCTGACATCATCATAGAACAAAAATGTATTTCTATGTCCATGTTGATTTTTAAGAATTATGAACATTCATGGGCAGGGAAAGATGCAATTTCTAAGTTGACTGTGAAAACATCTTTTCTTCTATTTTCAGGCAAATCTTTTGCTTGTTGCTTTTAAGATGCCTGCATGTATTATCATATTCATATTCACTGAAGAAGTACTTCATGTCAACATTGCATTCTTGAACACGCAACGATATTGCGTGGATCTCAAAATGTCAGCAATCAGTGTGGATCACGAAAGGCAGCTCAGTGATGTCTGCTTAAGATTCCACAGAACATACATTTCTCTATCTGAAGTGACAACATTTTCTTCAGGGAGCGGGTTCTCATGTAGAAAATACAAATTCTTAGAATTAAACTTCACAATGATAGAATTTAAAAAGATAAGACATTAACAATTACATCGACTGCTCCAAAAGTAATGCCTCCTATTTGTTTCTGTGAAAACTACAACAGATACAAAGATAACAACACCAAGATAACAATGCCATTTGATAGAGCAAATTCTTAGCTACAAAACACTACTTTATATCCCAGGATCTGCCATTAGCTACACATTTTCACCAGTGATGAACAAGAGCCTGTGTGCCGTGCATGTAAAAACCCGCACCAGTGGAGGTGAGCCACTGCCACCACTGCTGAAATGCACCACCCACTGCCTCGCTGTGCTCACATCCACTGCGTAGAGGAATTCAGCGACACACCTTTGCTTCATATGCACTTCCATGTCAGAAACCATTTTGTCAGACTGCTCCTCTCTAATGGAATGCTGGGGGGAAGGTTCAGCCCCTGCTGCCATACCACCAGTATCTGCCTCTGACAGCATGCGCCAACATAATAGAACAGGAGGCATTACTTTTGGAGCAACCCTCCTACTTCAAATATCACTGCAAATATGTTTTTAGTGAACTTACTCTCCTTTATAATTAGGCCAGTTGGCCAGTGATCTGAACAGGAACCAGAAAATAAAATTCTGAGTTCATGAACTAATTCACCAAATGTGATGTCCTTAAGACAACTGTAATGGTGAATTTTCTGTGTAAAATATTGGTTTGTAATACTTCATTTTAACTGTGAACCAATGAAGACCTTAAGAAGGAGGGAAATCTAAACAAGGTATTTGCTTAGAAGGACAGCTCCTAATGGATCAGTCACTGATTAAATCAAGATCAATTAAACCATCTCTGCAGAGGCAGTATAATGTAAGATACAACATTTCAGAGATCCAAAATTGTGTATCAGATCATAAAAAAAAGACACATAAGGAAACTTGTCTTTTTTTTTTTTTTTTTTTTTAAATGTACTTTTAAAATAACTTACAGTAATTTCAAATGGGTCAAGACCTATATTCCTGGTTCATTTCTTGTTTATTTAGTTTGCTTAAAAATTCGTTTCTGGAGAATGACAAAGGCAATTTGTAAACAGGAAGAACCAGTCTGAAACTCTATTAATAACCAACTTATTTTTATTAGAGCAAATACAGTTGTGAAAACTGTACATTATACATTTTGGGTCAAGAATTATAAATAAACTCATAGATAAAGAGTTCATTCTTTGACAGCAAGAAACTTTAAATAGACAAAATGACATTATTAAGTACATTGGCAGGCTTCATTGTGCTGTCCAAAATGTAGTGTACAGTATAACAACCAATTATAAATAGCCTTTCATGTAAAATACAGCTGTGCACATTTTAGAAAAATACCAACAATTTGTTTGAGCTTTGTTTTAAAAAAGCTTATAAATCATACATATTTATAAATGGTACTAACATGCTTACTTAAATTTATAAACATTTTCATAAGCTTTGTTACCCATTATTTCCAGAGCATAAAGTATTTTAAATAAACATTTAATAGGAATTAAATATGTCAGTTACAAAATTACCTCTCCACGTAAGGAGACGGGGGGCGATTTCACTGTTGGATGGAACATTTTGTCCATTACGTCAAGGCTTACACAGTAACTTTTAAAACTTTGTTCTTATTTAAAAATTACCTTCCTAAATTTAAAACACAATTTTGACTCTTTAAAAAATAAATATACAAGTTTTATTTTCATTTGCTCTCTTTCTGCTTTCTTCTTTATCCACACTGGTGAAAACACAGGATTCTCAACATACTTCTGTAAAAAACACCACGGTGTTACTGCCCTGCTTGGAGCTGCTTTGCTGCACTCTATTCAGTCCGCACCTATGGTACTTTAATATGCTGCATCAAAAGATAACTAATGTACTTTTAAGAATGTCGCCCGTTACACCATGCAAACACTTATAAAGTTTACAAACAGGTTCAAAAACTATATCGTATGAAATATCGTCTAACAGAGATAAAATAAACTGTAATACAAGCCCTTTGCTTTTTGCAGCTTCAAATTAAAATGCTTTCTTTCCAAATGATCACACCACATATTTTCAGCAAATAAGCATGCTTTTGGTTAATATAGGGTACAATAATTACAGTATAATGGCACATAAAAGAAACATGATCACATCATTATAACAAAGGGCTGTGAAACTACTTAAGACAAACTTTCCAAACAAAAAATTTTGAGGATTTTTTAATGCTGAGGTAAAATTATAAAAGGACTTCAAAGACACTGAAGGCATCAAATCGATAAACGATCACTTAACATGTCTAAATGCTCTACCTGAATGTATTCAACACGAAACTAGTGTTCAAAAGTCACAATAGTTTATTATGAGCATTAGCTAGCTTAACTGTCACTGGCATTAATGAGCACTCAGACAAGACTTTATATTTTAAATGCTGGCAAAACACCTCAGTGCTGAAACATAATAATTCAAATCACTAATTATCACAGCACCAGAATTAAAAAAAAAAAAAAAAAAAATTAAAAAAAAAATCAACATGCAAACTCCGCATCTTATCTTCCTTGCATTATTCTGGTATTTCATCTCCAGCTTAGGATGTGCTGATATCGACTTCAGATTCTTATTTTTTTTAATTAAAAAGAATTTTGCTTGCTACTGGCATAAGCATTTGAGCACTTTTAAGAAGATATCAATTTTTGCAGTTATGTTATATTGCTTCCTAAACCTTACAGTGAATAGACACTTCGGATTTAGGAAAATGAATTTAAGAATTACATCTTCAGATTAGAGAAAGGTTTTATCTTCTGTTTCTGCCACTAGGCAGAACCGGTAGTGCTCTCCAGGTTGGACTACATACTACATTATGGCTATACATCAGATTTCATAAACAACGAACGAACAGAATCATGCACAGGCAAATGAAATTCAATCTCCCAGAACACTGTGGGAGATGTTAAAAGCAGCAGGTAATGGAATAAGACTGGTGACTGATGCTGCTAACTATTTCTTCTAATGAGATAGGAGTGAACGCTGGAATCACTTCCACAGCAACAGAATCCACTGACCACATTCCTCTGGCAGTCGTTTTCCCATCTCCCCACTAAAAACATCAGACGGTAAAATAGTAAGGCAGCTGTTAGCTTCCATCAACAAAAAGTGCAGCTCCGTACATTTCCAGTTTAGTCACACTCTGCTGGAACAGATGGAGAAGCCAACGCACTTCACTGGTGGGGCTGCTTCAGCAGATTATTTTGTTTACTTTCCGACATGGCTGCTTGCTTCAGCTTTCATAGGACCCCAAAGCCACAAACCATCAGCAGACAAACTGATCTGGGCCCCTGGCTGAATTTTCCAAGTTTCATCTCTCTTGCGTCCCATCATCCTAACGCCAAGCCTCCTTCCCTGTGTCTGAGTATGTCTGGTGCCATTTAAAAGGCTGATGACACAACTGCAGAGAACTGTGGGCTAACACCACTAGTTGTCATGACTTCACTGAAGGGTCAAAACAGTTACATAATTAAATAACTATGTTGAATCACATTCAGGCACAGCTAAAATTAAAGTAGGAAACATTAAAAGTATGCAAATAAATTCAATCTTTATAATTTGAGGTGGGGTGGATGTGGTGATTGTATATGAAAACAAGACCTTGCTTACCTTTCCTAATTCCAATCAAGTTAGAAAATGGACAAAAAGAATGGCTAGACCAATATTCAACAGCATTACCAGGGCAATCATGACTGAGTTAGGGCCCTGAAAATAAACAAAGAGAATGAAATTAATCATAGAACCACAGAATCATTAAGGCTGGAAAAAACCACAAAGATCATCTAGTGCAACTGTCAACCTATCACCACCATGTCCACTAAACCACGTCTCCAAAAATGCAACCTTTCACATAGTGCATAGCAACAAACAGGATCTGACTTTGCTCTGAAATACTATCTAAATATCAAAAGCACAGACTCTGCTCGTGAAATGTAGCCTTGGTTAAACTCTTCTTTTCTAGTGACCTAAATATCGTCTGTATGAAAATGAACTGGATAAATAAAGGTAAGTATATTATTACACTGCCCTTAATCACACTGAGAATAACTGTCTGACAAATATGACTGTACAAATGTAAACAAAGCCATAAACACAAGAATGGTACCAGCTTAAAATAAAAGAGAATAAAGAAGTCAAACTTGAAGCCAGAGCACAGTTCCTCATCCATACAGTGGGTTCCTTCCCTGACGCCAGCCCATTACAAGACAGGAGCAGGGTTTTGCACAATGTGTTGTGTGAAAAAATGCCTTTTTTGATAACCCAAAGGAAAAAAAATACTATTACCACTCCACTAAAATCCCTAGCAATATATCCATTACAGACAAGAAAAAAAAATAAATTCAATCGGCAATACTAAAAACTTGTTTTGATCTACTTTGAAACTTGGTTGAAAATGCTTATCTTATAGAAGTATTTAGTGAATGTATGCTTTCTGATAAACAACTTGAAATAATGTATTCAACAGATGGAGTTCCTAAATTTTTCCATTCTTCTGTTAATGTATTTGGTTTACTACTACAAATTTTCACGTACGTTTGTATTTGCTGTGTGTGTATTTAGAGCAACTAGAAACTAGAAAAATCTTTTACTCAGACAATAATTTCCTAGATCACAAAAAGCCCATCAAAAACTCTATCCAGAAAGTTGAACTACTTAAGGATCACCAGCTTCTAGAAGAATGAATTAATTTTATTAGAAATTAGATTATTTTTTTTTTTTATTTTTCACAAGAGGCATGCCTTGTAGAAGTTCATTATGCTTTATGGCAATGGCAACAATACCTATGCAGTTTCTGGAATAATAAGTTATAAGAAAGTACTATTAAAATTTTGCTGCAACTAGGAAGCTACTGAACATTATTAGTGCCACTATTATATTGTATACTCTTATCCTGAAACAGTCACTAAAACATCTACCAGAACACACATTTACACAGTAGGTATGATAACAGGCTAGATGTGGACTGCTAAGTTTTTGAATAAGTCACAAAATATGTTTTAAGCACAGCTTAAATCTTGGGGGAAACTCATTCTAATTAGCAGTTCTATCCCTACAGGTCATGAGGTTCTTGCACCTCTTCAGAGACATCTGTACATATGCCAAGGAAATAGGCACTGAAGTTCAACCAGTGCCCGTGACCATCAGGATGCTCCTTAAATTTTGCCACGGGGTAATGGTATTAGTAGCAACATTAGCCTTTTGCCTAGTGGCAGAATGTCAAAAACATGCACTAGGAAACTGAAGACTAGGGTTTAGGGTTACCTTCACCAAAGGGATTTTGAATACCAAGTGCCCACTTACCAGTGTTTTAACCATTGGGTCACAGAACAGAAGTGGAACTGCGTTCCCTACTTCCTGCTGGAAGTGAGCCACTATGCACCAAAGTATATGAGAAGCTTGGTGATGGAGAACAAGCATAAAAAATGAGAGTGCGACTCCAGGTATGGCCACGTTTCTAATAAGAGGACTGTAAGCAGCCTAACTGTGTTCACGTGCAACTTGAGCTTCATTTCTTCTTTCTCTTTCTAGCACTGTCACAGCTGTGCTAGCTGTGGTTCTTCTGTGCTTTCCTGCAGCAAAGGAAATTCAAGTTCCCACCAATTCTTTCAGAACTGATGACTCCCACCAACTACATTTGGAAACTGTGAGGTTTATACAAGAAAGTCGTATTGGCAGAATTTAAACAACAAAACTTGCTTTACCTTGAAATAATAGCTGATTTAAAAATCTCTCAGTTTGGCAGTCCTGAGTATTAATGTCAATACCTACAGTGTGAGTGACTTTTTCTTTTGAAAAAAATCCCAGAATCTCATATGACAAACAAGAGTAATACATACATGTTAACGTTACATCTCTATCCACAAGGAGTGTGATTACACTACTCATTTGTGCTCAGATTTGAATTTAGCATCCATAAGGACTTGGTTTGATTGAAGTCAGGACAATAGATTCTTTATAGTTCAGCCTCCAAGCTAAAACTGCATAGAAATTGTGAGGAATAGTGAAGGACATCGATGCCCTATGCCATTAAAATTCACTGGAATTTGGGTGTCTGATTCTTTGCCTATTTTAAAATAAAATCCAGTTGCTTTATTCCTACTGAAGACCTACCAGGAATTCAAGGAGCCAAGAACTTACTCATTACCTAAAATATATCCTGAAACAGCATTCTGATAGCTACAAGACAGTTTTTGACTGAAGGATAAGTTGGGACTGCAGTTCAAAGAGCAACGTGGCATCGTTAGTATTAAGAAATTAAGGTTGGTGGAGGAAGAAGAGACTTTCTATGGATGCATCTCTCAGGTTACATGGATTTAATAATCTCATCACAGTAAAACTGGATAAATTAGGCAAAAGAACAAACAAACCCTAGAGAGTATGGCCTGAATCTCACCTACAAAGGCAGAAGAAAGCAATACTTTAAGAACTTGGTTGTTGCTTTCATACGAAGATGAAAGAAAAAACGTGTAATATATTTATGATAATAATCTATTGAGCCTATGCTTTACAGAAATAAATCTCATCTCCTTCTGCCTGCTCTGTGTATTTCCTTGTCTAATAGCTAAGACTTTGGATCAAAAGCAGTTTCCTGATAAATTAAGAAATGATCAAATAGTATTTGTACAACCCAGGATTATCATGCAGTTAACTACTACCTGTTCTTTAGACACCTACAAAATAAACATTTAATGCTTCACAGCAAATCCCATAAATAAGACTTCAGTGTCCTGCAAAGGCTTAAAATAGCAAAAGCCAAAATTAGTCTGAGGAGTCCAAGAGTGACTAGCACAGGTGCTATAAAGAAGCTATTGCAGAAAACCTTCAGTCCTGCTTAAAAACTGCCCCTCCATGTTCTAATACGTCAGCCACTTATGCAGTTAAAAATACAGCCATACGATTAGGTTTCAGTATGCGTAGGGAAGAAAGTTATTTTCCTAAAACAGAGAGCCAGGAAGTATTAAGACTGCTCCTGTAATCCCATTGCACTATGAATTTCTATTATATTTAGCATAAAGTTCTTGCTCAGATCAGGCAAAGAGAGGCCTATTTTCCTAACATCACGATAGTTATATTCCTTAATAACTGCATGTTAAGTGAACAAAGAGATGGAAGTAGAAACACACTGGGTAATGTTCAGCCAAATGTAATGATAAAGATAAAAAACAGGCTAACTATTCTGTGCGGCTTAAAAATCTTGATCTACAATACAAAAAAACTGAGAATAACATACACAGAACATTGGTACCTGTGCTTGTACCTGACCTAAGGCAACATGGGACATGTCAGACAAATCAAATGTGTATACATAAGCAGACATTACAATGACATTTTTTACAATTCAGTCCTATTTGTTATCCAAATCCAAGACTATCTCAAACCACCTCACAATCAAGGTGAGATAGGAGCATGCAAGTTGATACTGGGGCTAGAGGCTGCTAACAAGCAATTAGAAACAACAGTATTAGTTTGCCATTAAGTCCCGATGAAGTGTCTATAGCATATTATTTACACAGTATAACTAGAAGACTTGGTAAAAAAAAGATGATTTACCTCCCATTTACTAGAGTCAGTTTCTTAAAATCTAGCAATTACTTTGGAACAGCTGATGAACAGTGACGTTGGCATCATGTTTTTATGCATGTTTTTTACCTTGATAAAATTGTGAGAGTCCTATCGCTCTTTCATAGAAATGGAATGATTCTAAACTTTGAGTTTTGAACAGTAGAAAATAAGAATATAGAGATATACATTTATGTATTTCAAGTGCTTTGCAAGTACAAGTATGTACTGATATTTTTCAAGTATAAAGTCAGAAATAGGGATGCCTAAAGAATCAGTGCTACAACCGATACACCATGCAGTCTTAAAGGCCTGTGTTACATTCAGATGTGAGAAATAGCTTTGATTTAAATATGTGGATAGAAGAACTACAAATTGTATGTCCTATATCTATGTTCTTAATACACTGGAAACCTGGAAAAAGAACAGCACAATTTCATACAGCACTTTCAGACAGTCTAATAAAAATGCTCGTTTAAATGTTATATATTAAATTTTGTCTACCCAAGTCATGCTTTCTCACTCTTTTCATGAGAATCGGAGTTTGTTTCTGTTTTCTATTTCCTAACAAATATATTTTTAAACTTTAATTGAAGATCTAATGCAGGTGTGTACTTTCAAATCACAATAGTTTGTCAGAATGAATATAATGCAATGCAATTACTGAATAAAACAAACTAATTCTCTAATGCAGCATTAGAATTCTAAAATATCTTAATGTTCAGAACTGTCTGGGATAAAGAAAAGTACTCTAATCAGTTATTTTTTCCAGCAACTTTTCACTTTCAGGAAATGTATTCTACAGAGTCAAATTTATAGACACAGATGGAAGGTATCTTTGAAGAACATACCTTAAAACGTTGTATTAAAAATCATCTCCTAAGCTCTACATTCCCTCCTCACTGACACGCTGATAATAAGAATAATGCAATTAGTGTGCTCCAAATGAAGCAGAGGGCTGTAATATCAGTAAACAGTAGTCAATGTGCTACACCTGATTGCTCTTCTGTCTTTCCTGATAACAAGCTGTAAGTTCAGTCCTCAGCCTGATTATTCTAGAAGGTCAATAAACAGCTGTTCAGGTGTGCTGCTTGGTTTCTTAATGTGAAAACTCCCTCAGCTGCAAACCATGATTTGGTCAGGATGCAATATAAGAAAAGTAAGGACTACTTCTAGCCCCTTATTTTCACCAGAGCTGAAGAGAATATTCCAATTCAGGCTGAAATTCTGTGTGCTCACTAAACATTTATGAGCCTGACAGCTTTGTATTACCCTAGATAGGAGTCATATCTGTGAGACTTGAAAGGTTAAAGGGCTGATATGAGCTGTAATACAGATTTGCAGATTACAAAACCACTGTGAACATCTAGTTTGATCTGCACAAAATATAAGCTTCTTGCTAAACTAAAGGACGTGATTTTGGCAAAATGTTCTTTGTTGAACTACTCATTGAGGACTGATGAAAACTGATGGCACATTTAATTAATCTCATTAATTTTAAAATAAGACTTTTAATCTAAATCTGTCTAGCTTCAACTTTCAGCTGCTCATTCTTTAAAATTGTACTGTAAACTATTTTAGGATGTGTACTTACAGAATGTGATTTAATGTGCCAAACAGATTTTCTGTCTCAAATCTTTCATTGTAATATGTTTTAATCACTCTTCCTGCACTTCATGGAACTTTCCTTTTTTTTTTTTTTTTTCCATTTTATATCTCTGATTTATGAATATTGTATTTTGTTTCAGAAGTTGTTGCGTTAGTGCCAAAACCAGATAAAACAGATTCTCATGTACTCTTGCTTAATCTTTTCTGTTGATAAATCTAAGGATTATATTAACGCTTCTGATGAACAGCAGACTGAGAGCTCATGCTCAGTTACCTCTTCTGATCCTGATCTACCAGCCTTTTCCAGTTCCCATCCTGCATGGTCAGGCTCTACCAACTGTCTTTCAGCATATGAGCTTATGTTTTGCTGTACTGCAGATAATTAAATTTCATCTTTGCTATCTGGTGATTTGGATCAGTTTGTACTGGTGATCTGCTGTCTTCATTCTTTACCAGGTTCCTAGCTTCTCTGTCATTTGCAGACTTTATGGGCAACACATTTATGTTCCCTTCCATGTCACTAATAAGCATGTTAATAAAGCAGAACAGCATAATTAATCCAAGAATAATCTCATCAGAATACCAAATCACTGATGTTTTCCAATTACTACTTGATAAACACAGGTCAGTCTTTTAAAATGATTTTAATGTAACATTTAGCCTTTGCATAACACTGGCTTCCTTGTCAGAATAAGTAACTGAAAACCAAATCAAATGATCTTCCTGATTGAGGGCATCATTCCTCTGCCTCTTGAAGATGTCAAGCTTGTCTGACAAGATCTTTTACAATGCAAGTTGGTTGGAAATTCTTTTACCTTTCATTTTGAAATTATTTATTAATGAAATCTGGTGCAACTCAACTGTTTGCTGCAGCTCATGGCTTGACTAACAGGATCTCTAACTGAGTCACTCTGTTTATCCTATCTATCTTAATAATGAGACGCTGTTTTTTTTTTGTTGTTGTTGTTGTTTTCAGGAGTACCAAAAATGATTCAGAGAAGCAATGCTTATTAATAAAGAACAGTATCACAATTATCTAGATCTCCTCATTTGCTGCAGGTTAACTTTGGCATCTACAACTAACACATTCTTGAGTTTCTCTTGGCCAGAAATAGTTTCATAATCATCGTAAGTTCTGAATTTGACAATTCTTTTTCCTTAACAGGGAATAGAAATGCTTATTAGTCTTTTCTCCATCTCAGCTTAACTACTGATAATTCCATTATTTCTAAACAACAATGACATTTAGATTCATAGTAATCTGAATTATAGTTTTAATTTTTTTTCTCTGTTTTCTGACAAGGAAAAATGCTCAGTTTTCCACATCACATTAAAATCCAAGTCTGGTTGGAAGCAGTTCATATTTTGGCACAAAACTGCCTGTTTTCAGAGCTACATTCAACACAAAGAGGAAAATGAAAATGGGAGAATGTCTGGACTAGGTCAGCCAGCAGGGCAGCATCCCATGTCCAAGAGTAATTAAAAGCACCTTTAGAGAATGAGACCAGAGCAAGTATGTAGAAGGACACTTCCCAAATATCCTCCAGTTTCCAATGACTTGTTGCACATGTACTAACTACTCTCAGTGGACTTTTCTTTAAATCACTCTGTCATCTCTGGAGCCCATTAAGGCTTCTGGCGTTTTGCTGGTGATGTTCTTTGGCCTGAAGCTCTAAAAATGCAACATATGCTGGCTGAACCAGAAAATACTGTATAATTTTAATAGAATGCCAAACAATTTGTCATTACAACTGGCTTGCAAAATTAACTTTATTTAAGAACATGAGTATAGCTCCTGTGTTGATACAACTTACATTAAAATGTCCTATGAGAGTAAATGCAAGTTATACAACTCTTGATGACTGTCATCATTTCATTTCTCTGGCACATGAAGAAGTGATGGAAAAAGATTCTTAAATTTCATTTTTTTCACAAGATTTTTGGAAGAAATTACAGGATATGCAGTAACTTTTACATCATGACAAGAGCCTAGCTGTGCAATTTCTAGTACTGCCAATTATCCACTAAGATACATCAAATATTGTTTTGAAGAAAAAACAAGGAAAGATATCTATATTTGCAAATATGTATCTCAAGAAAACACACAGTAATAGAATTTTAGGCATAAACAATACCCTTGTATTTATGGATGCATTAGAGATTTATATTTCAAAAGCTTGTCTATATCTGGCTATATCAACTGTCTCTTCCCAAGTTTAAGGACTGGAATGTGTGCCCCTCATTTCGCTTTTCTATAGACAATTCTAGCTAGTAGACTGTATCCACATAAATATTTGACTGAAGTCTGAGCTTTTCCTGTCTTTAGGCTGCAAAGCTCAGCAATAAGAGATAAACGGGCAGTAAAGGTGAAAAGCTCTCTTGTACTCACCGAGCTGTTTACTACTTCTTTTTCCATGGCTGAATGTGACTCCTTATTAGCTGGATTCTTTGGTGCAGCAAATTCTGGTTTCTTAATTTTTGTGTCAGGTTTGTTTTCTTTGGCATCTGGCTTACCCCCAGATCTAGCAGGGCTTGGCTTCTGTGACTGTGGTATCCGTGCAACTGTTGATGGTGATGGGTTGACATATTCATCATCTTCTTCCCCATGCTCCCGTGGAAGCACTGGTTGATTCATTTTTACATAATAACCATGGTAGTGACCATGCAGCTCCCCATTCTCTGTGCTGATGGGATTGTGATGGGCTGAAAGCTTTGACTGGTGTTTCACAGCTATTTCTTCCTTTATTGGTGCTTTTGAATATAAAGGCTTGTTAATCATGGGTGTTATGTTCTCCGTGGCTAAAAGCCTTTTTTCTTGATTGAGTTTTGCCCCAGAAGCGGAGTTTTGCTTTTTCAGATGTTTTGAAGGAGAAGGCTCAGAAGGAAGTGGAGGGCTTTGCCTCGGACTTGCTTCTGGGGTTCGAGGTGGTGTAGTACCTTTTCGATAAAAGTGAGGTGACTCTTTTGGGCTAGGAGGTTTTTCCTGAACTTTGTCTTCAGATTTTTCTTTTACTTCCATTCCTTCTTGAAATTTTTGCTTGATATAATCAGGGCCTGGAAAATAGCGTAAGAAAAATATTACAGTTAAAACAAAAATAAGACTTCACAGTGTTGACACAGTATTCAAGTATTGCACTGCGATGTCAGACTGGATGGCCTTGCTAAAATACTGGGGCTAGGGGAGTGTTATCCAAAAATTCACTGACTTCTGTAGAGATTTACCCTAACTGACTCACTAGCTGAAGCTACTGTACTTCCTAGTAATTGTTGGAAATCCTTGCTGATTCAGTTCAAAGATCTTACACCTTCAGGTTTGCAAAGGGCCATAGGATAAAAATAATCTTCATGAAGTCCAAGGGACTGAAGACTGATTTACCTTACACCTCTTTCTCTTTCTTTCTTTTTCTTTTCTTTCTTTCTTTCTTTCTTTCTTTCTTTCTTTCTTTCTTTCTTTCTTTCTTTCTTTCTTTTTTTTTTTTCCTGAGAACTATGCTTTCCTTAATTACCTTCAACTATTTAACTTCTACCCTTATGATGATAGCATTTGTCTGATATGGAAGTTTTTAACATTCAGCATTAAATCTCTCTTCTACCCTTACAACCCATAGGAAATAGGGCTTGAATGCTTGAATCGCTTATTTTTCCATTTGTGTGTATGTCAGCTTGTCTTATACACGTATGTATGTGCCTTGAACTCTCACATGCTGGCTTTGTCTTCCTGAACAAATCACTTAAAACATGAAAACCAAAGTTAACACCTCTAGAGCGTAATACAGTTCTGCTTAGAAGCTAGGAAGACAAATTCTCTCACTTTCACTAGGGAAATACTTATGCAGCAGCTGGTATGAAGGATATTCTCTCCCCAAATCCTACCAAAATACCCATGAGCACATTTATCACTAGACTCAATGATCAAGGTGCATTTTTATGCAGTTGTTTACATAAAGACAAACAGGCTGAGATGCTTTGCTCAAGGTCTGTCTGATTCAATTGAAATAAAATTGTTGTAAACCTGTCTGTATAGTGGGCAACAGGCAACAATTTCTAAATTTCTTCCCAGAGGCCACATCCCAGATTCCAGGATCAAATCCTGTCAGAAGTCAGATGCTGGGGAACTCTATTAAGAAAGAACTACAACAACCTTTCTGTATCTTCAGAACGCCTTCTGCAAAATACAGTGCAACTATTTTTCTGCTTCTATCTTTGCTAGTATGTCTACTTTTCTCTGATTTCTTTATCTTCTGTAAGTGAGGCTTATTTGTTTTTCATGTCAAAGAAATTCTGTGTCCAGGGAAGAATGTTTGCACACATTTTCTTCCTTTGAATTTTTAGAGACTCTAGCTGTGCTCGGCAGATACGGTGTTTTTACAGATGCCAGAACACATGCATCACTACACAGAGCTGAAATGAGAGGAAGGAACAAAGAGTAGCATGAAGTTTTCAGAAGTTATGAATCATCTGGTAAGTAAGCAAGCACTGCTGAGAATGAGAATTACTTGGCAAGGAGTTGCTTTTGAGCAGGAGAATCACAAGGATTTCAGTATCTTTGAAAACCAGGGGTGAAAACAGGGAGTTGCTGAAAAAGAAGAGACAAGTCAGGATTTGTTCTCAAATGATGTTTGAGGTGACTCTTTGAGAAGGTAAGCCTGCATTCTGTAACCTTCTGATAAAAGAGAAAGGCAGAAGAACACAAAAGTCACCATATATCAGGTCAGTTACAGTCACAATTCACAAATTTTCCATCTTTGCAGAGATGTATAAGGTAATGCTGAGGTTTTTAATGTACACAAACTTCAGTTTTCTTTTCTTTCACAGGAGATAAAACTAAAGGTATAAAGAAGAAAGGGTACTTAGAAGAGCTCTGCCTAACATTTAAGCCCAAGCCATGGAACTGTTAATTTGCAATAACTATTTATTACAGACATCTACACCTATGTTCATGTTAGATTCCTCCCTCTGGCTGGGTGAGAGCATCCCAATCTAGAACACTCTTGTTTCAGCATTACAGTGTTACTCAAGCGGCACACGAACTGATCTTGCCTGTACCCCCTATAGCACACTGCTGCATCACTGCTTCTGACTGACCCAGAAAATTTACATTGGAACAGCTCTCCACTACCCCACATATGTAAAGATCTGACATCTGTTAATATATCACAGTGCTTGGACTAAAGGTACTCTGATAAGAAACACACCTGAGTCTCACAAATGTCAGTCTTCTCCATTGAGAAGACTGATCTATAAAAACCTTCCAAAGTTGGACAGAGGATTTTCCTCCTGTGACCTCCAGGCTATACTGGAATTTCTGAAACAAGTAGGGAACCAGGTCTTGGCTGTCCATATTTCCATGCAGAAGAAAAACCAAAAAACGAACAGGCTAAACGTGACATATTTTTACTGGGTATATGACAATATTTGATGCTAAAAACACTGTGCTCAACTAAATGAGGCTGTAGCCTCTGTATCAAAGTTAAGCCTGAGAGAGTCTGATCAGACATTGAGGAATTGCTTCAGTTTAACAAAGCAACCACCCTCCTGCCCCCAAACCCTTCAACACATCACGTATGGCTATTAGAGATACATCTCTTGCCTCCAGTCCTGCCAGGCACATCTTTCTGTTACTTACATTCTTGACTCTGTTCTGATGTTAGCTTTGGAGACTGGCCAAGGACTCCTTTTTTAAAATCTGTTCACTGTATTCAGTACAATCAGATTATGCACCTGTCTGAACCATTGACTCCAAGCAGAAAGAACAGTTTCCATTCTTTTCTGAGGAATAAGAATGCTTGTCAGGATTTAGTAAGCCTCCATTGTTAAAAGCATTATCTAACAACAGAGACATGGACAACAGAATCCTCCTTTTTCTTCTGCATAAGTGCACTCTACAGCAAAAGTCATTGGTCAGGGCCAATGGAGTTTGGAAAGGGAATCATTAATTCTCGATCCTAAAAGGTGGCTCAGCTGCTTGTTCCTTAAAAGAACAGGATTTGAGGGTGAGAAGAAGTGAAGGTTGGATTATCTACTTAGCAAATAAACATGGAGTTATGCTTTTCAGTTTCTAGTTCAAGCAACCAATAGATATATTCCTATGATGTTTCTGAATATCTAAGAACTGGTCTGGAAAGCAGATCCAGTAAGTTTTTTCTAACCAAGACAACCTTTCTTTGTAGAAGAACCTGTGTGTTTTCTCATGGTGAGTTGCAGGTTCTGCTACTGCCTTCTTAAAACTGACAGACTTTTGCTGCTCAGTGTTAGTTATTAGGCAGTTTTTGATTCATACAGCTGTGATTCAAGTTGAATGGCATTGATGAAGTGAGAGTTAGACAGGAGCTTAGGGAAATAGCTTCTGAAAACCTAAGGACTGTGATTATGTGTGATATATGTATGTGAAGGTGGAAGCTGCTCTGCTCACAGAATCGTAGAATATCCCACGTTGGTAAAGACCCACAAGGATCATTGAGTCCAAATTCTCGACAATTCAATATTCAAACCCTCTGTCTGAGAGTGTTGCCCACATGCTCCTTGAACTCTGACAGGTTTGGTGCCATGACCACTGCCCTGGGCAGCCTGTTCCAGTGCCCGACCACCCTCTGGTGAAGAACCTTTCCCTAATATTCACCTGAACCTCCCCTGACACAGCTCCATGCCATTCCCCCAAGTACTGCCACCAGAGAGCAGAGATCAGCTCAGTCCCTCTGTTTCCCTTGTGACAAAGCAGGGAGTGAGTTGGGCTTCAGTTTGGTTGCAGACACTCTCATTGTTCTTCTAACACTAGAATTTCTTGTGGAGTTCTTGTGTAACATGTCCTTCCTCCTGGAAGGTCTCCAGTAAGTGATGTGACAGCATGGCATGCCCTGAAAATGAGAAGAGAAGGGTGGCCTGGTTCTGCCACAGCATTTTTAGAGAGATGACAGCCACATGCTTTCCCCCATAGCCCAGTGAGGTATACATATTGGCAGCAGGGCACTGTTTCAGGATTGTGGCTCAAGCAATGTCTAAAAATGTCATCTTGCAGGATGGTGCAAATGCAGTGTTTCCCAAGAAGGCTAAGAGACCTTGTGTCTTATCAGACTGGAATGAAATCTCAAGCTCAAGGACTGCAGAATGTACCTTGGATAGCGAGAAAAAAGGTGTGGATATATATTCTTATATTTCAGCTTCAAGCTGTGCTCCTGCCTATTCAATCTAGCCAGATTCAACTGATTTTGGCCCGTGTGAAAAAGAAGAGATGGGGATACAGGAAAAGGTTAGAATTGAGGGAGAGGATGAATTCTGGAGGTGCTGAAAGTACCAGGATTCCTTGCAGTAGGCTGGTGATCCTTCAGGGAACATTTCTGAATTTCAGTCATTATGTATAACACAGTAACCTGCCAGAAATCTAATTTCCATAATTCAATATGCTTTTGCCTCACTTCAGTATAATCTATATCCTCAAAATTATTATTTTTTTTTAATTTGTCAAAACAGGTCTATATCATAACGTATCAGCCATTCTGGTGTTTTGTGGCAAGACTGCCACAATGCATTTTCAAGTGACACAAGAACATGTATTTTGTTTTCTTTTACTAAAAATAAATAAGTTCTTTACCATTATACAGAATTAATATATACTAGAATACTGAATTAAAACAGTATTAGGTAAACTAAAATATACTATATTCTAGCACATTTTAGTTCAACGTAGCACTAAATTCTCTGAGAATTAATCTGTTGCATCCTAGTCTTTTGCAGCTTTCCATGTACTCCAGTATGACCTTAGACGTGCTTACTTGGTTTATATGTAAAAAGGGACTCATGCAGCAGACACAGGTTTGAAAGCTTTTCCTTGAACCCAATTACTTAGGATAGAATTCTGTTGATATCGATAAATAATCTCCACAGGAAGCCTTTTCATGGTGCCAGACATGTTCCTTCAGGGAGAGAATGTTGTGCAAAACTTCACTAGGACATAAGGTCTCATTCTGGGGAGAGCAGTTTTTTCTGAGCTATGTTTAAGACACTATGCAGTACAAACGAGAGCCTCTCACCATAATAGGGCAGTGAATGCCTAGTCC